ATGTCAACTTCCCAAACGGATTATCCGGTTGACTTCTCTATAAATAGGTGCTATTTTTTCAGTGGTGGTTTGTTGCTTTTTTTATCTGTTGCTTTTCTTATGTTGTGGATGTGGAACTAGATAGCTTCTTAGGATGGATCTTGTGGCTCCGGTATCGATAGCGATCGTACAATTTTGTGAGCTAACTTTACCGTCTAGACAAAAGTCATTGAGATTTTGGTGTAATCTAGAAACGTTTACTTTGGTACTTGGGACATTAGGTTTCTCATCTAACTTTGCCGCATGAAATTGAATCACCCTCTTTCATTTAATATTTCTCTGTCTGTTGATAGTCATTGTTTCTTTCACCGTGTCTGCAAAACAGTCGTATGAGGCTCATTTTCCCACAATTTTAGCATAGTGTTATGTTTTTTTTGTCTGTTGATTGCAAAACCGTCATACATGAAACTTTTTTCTGCAGTTCTATCTTGTTGATATGTTTTTCTGGATTTCTAAGGCTAATTTTTGACACAAACACTCCCTTTTATAAGGCATTTTTTATATCAGTTTTCGACGCCTGTTTTGCCGCTTCAAAAGTAAGGCCATACGCTAAATCTTTGAGGCTGTGCAAGAGATTTTGGTAGCAAGAGATTTTGGCAGAATCACGGAGGTCTTTAATGAACGTTTTTAGCGTAGCTTTGTTTTGATGCTCTTTGTCTGACGAAGTGTAAGATAACAGAGTCTGCCGTTCTAAATCTTGTGCTAGCTGTTGTATTCCTTCTCCGGCAGTTTTTTCTGTTTCTGTTTAGCGCATCAATCAAGGTTGTGAAGTTGAATAGTTTCTCCCAAGAGATTGTTTACAGTACTTCTGCTGCGGGGCCTTGCTGAAACGGTTTTCTAAATATTGAGTATCCGGTAGTTTTGTTTTTGAGGAATTTTTGCACTAATAGAATTATTAACAAATCATAGACGTATTTGTAGAAAGAAGATTTTGATTCATATTTGGAAGATTTTTAAATTAATTATTTTTGTCAAAATTTTCTATATATGTTATTCTGTATATGACCGACGATGTTCTATGTATATATTAAATTATATGTCATATATTCTAAGCAGGGGGATGTCGGTCAAGCACGACGATCTCAAATCAGCCCGGCTTTACGTACTCCAGAAAAAGATACGAAGTATGCATAAATATTATGCGAATACATGAAATAAATTAATTAAAAATAGATAAAATAAATAAATTTAAAAAAATAAATAAATTTTTATTAATAAACTAAAAAAATGTGAAAATTTTAAAATTTGATGAGTTTGAAAAATAATTGTTCGTGGAAACTAAAAAATAAGACCAGACTCTGAAGCGCACTGAAAATTGGCGCTTTCGAGGGCCTGTATAGGTATTCTAGGCCATATATGACTCTGATTCTATGTATGTGACCACTGGGACGAGTATGATCATCCTATTTATTCTAGTTATATGGTATGATCATATTTATTCTGCAAATCGTAAAGATTTAAATTAACATTTAAACACTGTTTACTCTTATTGGTTTTTAAATCGTCAAAGTAAAATGGCCGACGGTGATAGTTTGTGCAATGTCAATTCTGATCTTGATTTAGATAATAACGCTATAGACGCTGACATCGATGATGATGATGTAACCGCTGAGAATTGGTTAATTTTTTGAATTATGTTTCTAAAATTTAATTTAATTAACTTAACCTTTTAAAACCCGATTTTTGACGCTCTGGCTTTAGTTTTAATTTTATTTAACTTTTAAGGCGTTCCCTGGTACCGGTTTCATTAACGTAAAAACTAAGGTTATTGCACTTCACACCAAAAACGACCTGTTAATACTTACACTTTTTCAGTGTTTGTAGATTTGCATATATATTTATACATTATATAGGTAGATGCACAAGAAAAAAAAACACAGATCTTGGAATGGCTAAAACGGCGGGTTTTTGTAATCTGCGGTTTAACAGTTAAATTATTCTCACAAAATGAATAAACCACTTCTCTGTCATTAATTCATGACTGAGGTTCCAACCCTGATATTATATTTTTAGATCGACGCTCCTCTTCTTTCTGCTCCTGTTCCACCATCCACAATTTTTTTGTCATTGTTTTCAGCATTGAAGTGCTGTTAAGTTTAATTACTTGCTGTTGTCATTCGGCAACAGTGGAGCCAAGTGTAGACATGGTCGTGTGGAGTTTACTCATGCAGTCAGTTACTGCATCTGACATGCCTTTGATCGCATGCTCGAAGCTGTTGCTTAGTGCTTAGAGTGCTTCCAATCTTAGGACTGTTGTTTCAAACAGTTTGCTCATTAGAGTTTCAGAATTGGAAATGGTTTTGCGTAGGTTTCCATTAGACAACTCAACTAACTTAGCTAAATTTAAGTCAGACTTTTCCAATTTTTCAAGGTTTTTATTAGAAAGCATAATGACCTTTTCTAAACTTTCATTAGATTTGTCTAGAATCTTGTCGAGGCATTTGAGAAAATTTTTATTATTCTGGTCCAAAATTTTGGAGACCAACAACTCAAAATTCTTTGGGGAAATATTTTTAGCCATAATATACAAAAAAAAACAAACACACGTTTAGACGACATTTTCCCCGAGATCGGGGTTGCCGTTTGGCTACCTATGATGAAACCGAAATATACAAGTTTTTATTAGAAAACATGAAGCCATAATATACAAATATAAACAGTATTTACTGAAATATATACGATTTGCTGAAATATATACAATTTTAGAAAATTGAAAAGCGTTAATTGAAAAATAAACAAGACGGCGAAAAACCAACAAGACATTAAAAAATTATATTTATTATAAGATGAGTATTGATTTGGCTAGTCGTAAATTATAATGGTTATTTTAATATAAGATTTCAACATTGTTTTCCAAGATTTGCCTAGTAATTTTAGTTTTGTGTTTCTCTTTTATGTGATTCTTTATAGCGCCAGTTTGTATATGTATTGTGAGTCTTCTCAATAGCTTGGTCGTTGTCGTACCAATATATTCGGAATTATGGTGCCCATTTTCACCAAAAAACTTGAAAATGATTTTTGATCAACTGTTAAAAAATTAAAAAACTAAACCGGAAGCTAACTAACGCGGAACATGCTGTGATTTTTATCAATATATATATTGCTTAGTTCTGAATAGTTTGAAGTTTATAAAACCTTTAAGCAGAACTTGAAATTGTTGTTCCAGTTTGGTTGTCATTGGCCATGTTTCTGCACCATAAAACAACATCGGGCGTGTTACAGATTTATAAAGTCTTGATTGTAGTGGTAGTGGGATGTCACGCCGCATCAATATAGAGGCAAAGAGATGCCATTTATTCCAGCTGCACGTATGAGTGCTCGAATGGCTGCTTCAGCTGTTCCAGAACAATCTAGAACATTCCCTAGATATTGAAACGATGTGACTTTCTCTACCTTAATGGCTTCAAAAACATTGCTATTTTATATATCGAATGAGCAAAGGCGATTGAGTCAGTGAAGAAAAGGGGGTTGAAATTTGTTGATTGTTTTATATGTGATAACAGTAGTTTTTTATTTGATTCATTGATGGATTGACAGCCGGTGCAGGTTAGCAAGAGAAAATAAACTAGAAGACAAATGAGGCAATTCTAGGACAAATATGGCTAGTCTGTTTAAAATAACTGAAGAAAGGAAATTAGATACGCCAAAATTCCACATAACAACTATTTTAACTGTGAAAAAAGGTCGAATGTGGCAAATAGACCAAATAATGTAATTGCATATTTTGACGAGAACAGAAGTCTGAACTTTGAAAAGTAACAATATAACAAAGAAGTCAAGGCTAGATAAAACAAGACAGCGTGCTAACGTAGAAACTATTTTAACTGTGAGAAAAGGTCGAATGTGGCAAATAGACCAAATAATGTAATTGCATATTTTGATGAGAACAGAAGTCTGAACTTTGAAAAGTAACAGCCTGCAGTTTAAGATAGGTTAATGTAAACAGTTTTGATTCAGCAATTGACCCGTTAGAAGGTGGTGAACGTTTTGTTAGTAACTATTGGTAGTTAACTATTACTAGTTATTAATCACTTGTCACTAATGACAACTATCAGAATGCCAAAGTTTTAGTGGCTGCAGATGTTTTTTGCAGATGTTTTCTCAACAGGAAACAACATTCAAGGAAAAACAAGTAACTAATCAAATGAATCAAATCAATAACCAACTAGGCAAGCATCATGACATCTTCCCCTGTTAACACAAAAAAGTAAATGGAATGATTACAGACCTGCAGAAACAAGGAATAGTTGAATCTCCAGTAAGCCCTTGGCATTTGTCAGTGGTTCTGGTAAAAAAAGCCGGTTTTGTATGAAAGTCGAATGACCTTACCAAAAAGGATTGCTATTCATTATCGAGAATTGGTGACATGGTCACATTATCAGGATCGTGGTGGTTCTCCACACTCGACCTAAGTAAAGATTAGCTATTGACAGGTGGAGATCAAGTAAAGCGATTATGAGAAGACAGCTTTTCGATAAGGCTAAAACATTTAAGGAAAACAAATCTACCTAGAGCCAAGACAGCTAAAGTCTTTGATGAAATGCATGCAAAGCCACCAGGAGGACATCTTTGTTTCAACAAGACAAAGTTTGTACTGGCTGAACGTTTGAGGACGTGGAAAATGGTACCGGAATTGTACCAGGTGCACGGCCGTGAAAGGGCCTAAGAGGAAGCTCGCAGGCCATTGCAAATTTACAATGTGGGTGCGCTATTTGAAAGAGTTACAATCGACATCTGTTTTGTTACAATATTTGAAATTTGTGTTTGTCTGATTGGTTTGTCGTTGTTATATGGTTGATGGGATTGTTTTTTAAAGCATTTGATTATTTTGTTTTGTATTATTTTTGTTTATTGTTTTTTAGCTGTCATTTATTTGAGATATTTTTAAATAAAATGAAGTTGGTTTGTTAAATTGATAATTGATAATTCGATTAAATTGATAAATAATAATAATTGATAGGGGAGAAGATGGATCTCTTCTAAAAAAAAAAAGTAAGAAGAAAAAGAAAGGTAAAGATGCAAATGCAATTCACAAATCGAGTGAAGAATCAGATGGACCTATATTAGATTGTGAATCAAAAGTTATAAATAATTCTGTTAAAATTGAAAAGGTAAATAATGGAAATATATATTTCCAATGTTGTATGCTTGCATTTTTTTATTAGCAAATATTTGTCCTGATCGAACATTCGTCCTGATCGAATATTCGTCGAAATTTAGGGTTCGGCGTCGGTCATGTTTAAAGGCAAGTAGCCGAATATTACAACGTTCATTTTAGCTATCTTATTTTTTGCTTAAGAAAAATAATTTTAATTATTATTAGCGGGAAATTTATTTCGCCCATCGTCACCGTTAAAATATCTGAAATTGAACAAGAAACTGTTGTATAGAAATTAATCGCCGATAATTTTTCGGCCAAATATACTAATTAGTGCATCTTTAGTTTTTATGCAAATTTAGATGTGGACTATTAGTTTTGCATGTTTTGTATGTTTAACTAGCTGATCTGCCCAGTGTTATGTACTATATTGTATTTGATTTAACCACCTTTTTGGTGTTGTAAAATTTATTATTAAGCTTTACTCGCGAAGTTTATAGCACTTATTCATTTGAAAAATGCTTATACACAGCTATAAACAACTACTAGTTTTTTGTTTCAAATGATTCCTTTTTTGTTTATTTAAAATTTTAGTTAAATACTAATCAAATGGACCCGGTCTGCAAAGCTGTTGACCTTTTAAAAATCAGCCATGCTACACCCAAAAGTATCGATGAGGCAAAAAAGAAACACTATCAATTTTGGGATACGCAGCCGGTCCCAAAGTTTGGTTAGCTTTGTTAGAAATTTTAAAACATTTTTTAGTATTTTAAGATATTTTAGTTATATCGTTAAATTAATATTAACATTTTTTAAAATTTGGATAGTGTTTCATACATGTACATTAGGTTGATCCAAAAAATTGAAACCGGATGTACCTTTTCTCCAAGTTGATATTTTTATGACGCTATATACAAGTAACATTTGCACAAAATTTTACCGCTGAAAAGCATTGTTTAGAGGTGGCACGAGTCAGTACAAAAATCAGTTAAATAATGTCCATTAATGTAGCTTTTGAAGAACTGGGCATTCGTTTCTGGTGATTCGACAGCAGGCGTAGGATGGACTGGAACTGCTCTTCATTTTTTTGTTGAGCAGCGGTTGTATTCCTGCAGAAGACTGATATTTCTTTCTGCCAAATCGTTGACAACTTTCATGCCATTAGCCCGATTTTAGAGAACTTTAAAATTTGGGTCTTCTGGCCACATGTCTGGCAGTCTGCTTAAGAAAGACTCTGCCACCAATCTGCAATTTTCAATAAGAAAGTCGAACAAGAACATACTCGCTTTTGTTACAAGATCCTCCAGCTTTAATTTTTGACCTGTTGTCGCTAGGCGTGGAGGAATCTCGGTCTACTGAGATTGCGTACCATCCATCAAACAATGCCAATTCCACCGACAGAAGCTATAAATGATTACAAAATGCTGCCTGCACTGTTGTTGCCACTTTTTGATTAGGATTCTTCTTCAGTACAGACAAAAGGTGAATGTCGTTGAAAGAGGCTTTGATTTCAAGCGGTGCTTCATTCCAATATCGGACGTATACCAGACACACGAATAAAAATGAATCAGTAACCTTCATGGCTTCACCTTTTTTCATTGGGAATTAGTTTTTGAATAAAATATTTTTTCAACGTGTAGATAACTTTTGAGCTTTTGCCATCATGATGCATTTGATGCATTTGACGGGGTGCAAAGAATGACACAGACACATTTTAAACCTCGCCGCCAAGGTGCAAGCGAGACAACATCAACAGTGCTCTATAGTCATCTCTCGGCTGTTGATGTTGTACAGCATGATTCAAATAACTCAGCATTTCTTCACGCAATTGAACCATAGTCGCATTCTTGAACATATGGTTTGACGCCTTTACAAATTTTGTATGATCTATGGTGACCATATTATTTGAAATCGTTTAAATAGAGTAATATCAGGACCAGTACTAGTACCGAAAATGCTGTTGAAGAGTTTGTGCAACATAATTTTCATTACATAATGGCGACAGGCAATCCAGATGAGTTCCTCCGCAAACGCTTCTTCAATTCGCATACATCCCGGCATTACTAGTTGCAGTGTCGAATAACAGTCCATTAATTTTCTAATTGAGATTTCACTTAGAACTGCCTCAACGTAAACTTTTGCTACCAACTCACCTTCCCCTTTTTTTATCTTAGCTTCTCACTTCCATATCCAGATACGAGGGCTGCAATTCGGCCAACAACTGACTTAACAAAGTTTTATAATAACTTCCCGTCTCAGTTGTCCCATTAAAGATGGTTATTCTTTCGCTTCTGCTGCAGCTTTTCTGCTTTTTCTAGATCTCTTAATTGAGCTACGGGTCAACGTAATATCAGTATATCATGTCCAAGTGATTTAGCAACTACTCCAACTATAAACGCGGCGCCCCAGTCAGTAACATTGATGCGATCCAATGCGCCGACAACATGTGAAAATAATAATGAAATCAATGTTTTAAATATATATAAAATGCACAACACTACAACGTCAGTGAGCATTTGAAATATTTGTTATGCTGTAAATATTTAAAAATTATTCTGACAATTTAAACGAATATTAACAGAAGATAAATAAATATTGTAATAAACACTTATATTGCGCGACCTCCTAATATTTAGATATCAGGCTGCAATTTTGCACAGTAACTGTGGGGCCATAATGAACAAAATATAACCATTGGACCTGGGATCCAAAGAAATTATTTTTTGTGTGGGACGGCGGACCATCCTAATGTACATGTGTTGTATGTATGTAACTAAGTATTGTGTATATACATATGTATTTATTCTTTGATGGGTGCTGGGAGTTTATGTCTTGGTCTATGTTTTTTCCAAATGATAATAATAATAATACAACAAACAACAACAACACACGTTTAGACGGCATTTTCCTCGAGATCGGGGGTTGCCGTTTGGCTACCTATGATGAAACCGAAATACCCCTCGACGCCATCCACATCTGTCACTCGCCTCAGTATCACGCAACCCCGCTTTCACCCTGTCCTTCTCCACCTGCTCTCTCCATCCCAATCGCGGACGACCCCTTCCTACCACTCCTTCAACCTCGAACTCCAACGCTCGCCTAATCCCGACCCTTTCATCCCTTCTCAACACATGTCCATACCGTCGCAATCTCGATCTCCTTATCAATGTCACAATGTCCTCATTTAGCCCCATCATCGACATCAGCTCTGTACTACTCCTCCTATCCTTCACTTTAACCCCACACATCATCCTCACCATAGCTCTTTCAGCCCTCTGCAGTACACTTTCCTCCTCTCTCCTCAACACCCAAGTTTCACCACCATATACCATCGCTGCTCTCACACATGCTTTATATACCCTCCCTATATAATAATAATAATAATAAAAGGGGAATTAAAATCGATTGTGAAAATTTTGTGTTTACATCGTGCGATGATTCAAATTTATTGTTGTTACAGCTGTCTTTTTAAAATACCAGCACATTAATGATATTTTACAGATGAAAAAATTGAAGAACATGGTCCAATAGATGTAGAAAAAACAATTGATGAAATAAGAAAAGAACCTTACAGCTTACCTGCTGGTTTTGTTTGGGATAATGTTGATATCAATAACCCTGTAGTGGTGAGTTTAATCATAATTTTTATTGCAATTACCTTTTTGTCATCCTTTTTGTCAATTGTCATCCTGATTGCATGAGTTGCTTGGGTTCTGTCTCACAGTCCCTTAACTATTAATTTTAAACGTTTTAGCGGATTCTAAATTTTTACTAAAAATCATTTGTTCTGCTTTTCCATGAGAGAAAGTTCAAATTTTATTATCTCCAGACCAGAAAATGAAAAAGACCAGAAAATTTAAAAAGTAACTTTTTAAAAGATTTTGATCCTAGCAAGCATTTAAACTTTTAAGAGCTTACATAAAAGTTGTTTTGCCAATTTATTGAGCTTTTGATGCATTCCAATTTAGTTCATAATCTTATGTCACTCGACATGTGTGTGTTTTTAATAAATCTATAAGATATGTTATTTCATTTAAGTAATATTTTAAAATAATGTAATATTTAATCATCGTTTATAATCCTCTTCCGCTACGGGTTGGACCTTAAATGTTAATTATTATAATTATTTTAAGTTATTGAATCACCTCTCGGACTATAATATTAACATGCTCTCTGACAAATTTAATAAAATTCCCAGGCCCTAGTTGTTGAAAGTTTTGTTATGGAACTTGAAAAAAAATAGTCTTAATATTTGATTGATGAAAAAACAGTTACTTTGGGAAAAATATTTTTAATATTAAGTAGTTTTAATGACACAATGGATGCAATTTTTGTTGCAATACAGCCGCAAGGTAAGTTGAAAATTATCAAAAATGACACAGAAAAGCTTGTGATGAGGTGCTCATGGCACTAACTACATTGTTTTAGCATTTTATAAATTGATCATCATACTGTCTCATACATAACGTCTTGTACTCCAATTACTGTTTTGGACTAATTTCAAAGATATTTTTTGTAATTTTCATTTCAATTTATTTATTTTCAGCTGTTCTATATAATTGAAATAGAAGGATACCTTTAGTTAGAACTTTTACATTCTATTTTTATTTTTACGTAATTGTTCAACTGTATCAAATATGAATGGTATTTTATAAAAAATGAGTTTTATAATTTTTATGAATAATCATGCAGCTGAAAGAAGTGTACACATTACTGAATGAGAATTACGTAGAAGATGATGACAACATGTTCAGATTTGACTACTCTCCTGATTTTTTGCATTGGTTATTTTATTTAACTTTTTTTTTTGTTAGTTTTATTTTATCCACTTTCAATTTTTATTGGTCTGTCAGTCCTAAAATGCTTTATTTACATATTTTGATCTGAGTGTGCTAAGAAGCTTGTTTTATCTGTTCATGAGATTAATATGTTGAAACCAAGATATATTATCATTTAAAATTACTTAAAGAAATGCAATGTATAATGACCCCCTCAAATGGTAGTTTTAGATCAATGTTTGAGGAAATAAATTTTTAATAAGCACATTTGGACCAAAAATTATTTCTCATAATTTATGATATTTTTTGTTGTTAAACCATTTTTTCAGGTTGAATATACAATGTTTTTTGAGGAATGGAATAAGTTGGTATCGTAATTTACAATTAAAAAGTTTTATTGCCTTGACCTGAAAATACAAACTGATATTTGTTGGATAAAAAAGTTTTTTACTTGAAAGGCAATCATTAATTAGACCAAATGATTTGCTGATAATAATGATGAATTACTTTCTTGATCCATGTCATATATATACAGATATATCATTATTAATATTGCTAGTTCGTTTATAGTTTTTCAATCTGGTGATTTCCATGTACAATGTTTGCTGTTTTTTCATGCTTCTCGCATACATTCTCTGAATTTGTGCATATTCCAGTAATCTTTGTTCTCTTTTATCCCTGCTTCTTATACCATATTTTTTATAACATTTTGCGGATCAATTTTATTAGATACCAATTTTACTATTCCAGCATCTAACTAAAATTTCAACTTCCTTTTTTGAAAGTGTTTCCATTATTTATTTTAATTGTTCAACTTGATCTGAATGATTTGTTGTTGGGCGCAAACTACTGTATCATCAATATCTCCTATGTATCAGTTAAATCTGACATACAACACTTAATTTCATACTGGGTCATGTTCAATTAGTGCCTTTCTTGCTTCATCACCAAGTATACATGCACTTTTTTGCACTTGACCCTATTTGCTGCACATAGAAATTTGCACAAACCAATTACATCATATCTGAACTTTTCTGGGTTTTTTAAACATTTTATGGCTGATACAACATGCGAAGTATAAAAATAAATGTGAAAGCAAATGGACTTAAAAATAATACTTGTACAGAATGAAAATAATGTTAGTGGAGATAACTGACAGGTATGAATTGAAATAAAATAACGACTATTTTAGAATTTATTTAATGAAAGTAACTTAAGTTTGGAGGCAAATATATTCATATTTAATGAAAGTAATTTAAAATTAATAAAAAAAGTTCAGTCATAAGGCAAAGTAAATAAATAAATCGGTGATACATCGTAATATAAAGTAAATAAATAAGAGGACAGTCCTAATATAATGTAAATGAATAAGAAATCAATCATAATATAAATTGATTAAAAAGGTTGTCAATCAAAATATAAAATGAATGAATAAATTTTTAATTAAAATATAAAATGAATGAGTTAAAATGTAAAATGAATAAATAAATGGTCAGACAAAATTAAATCTAAATAAATAAGAAGACAAATGTAGGTCATTAAAACATAAACAGGTACAGAAAATCAATCAATCAATCTTCGTTTTGCGTCCAGAGACCCGGTTCCCCGAAGTAGGACGTTGTTTTCTTTGCCATCAACTTTTTGCGCCAAATTAGACGATCAGTTGTATCCATTTCATTTAAATTTAGAGCTTTCATGTCTTGCTCGATTGTTTGCGACCAGGACTTCTTTGGACAGCCTTTGGGACGTGTGCCGGGTACTTTAATATCTGCAAGAGAAGTTATGGCACTGTTTCTACTTCGTTTGACATGACCAAACCACCTCAGACGGTGTTGCCGGCATTCATACTTTATATCATCTAAACCAGCACGACGCAGAATTTTGGTAGATTTGATGTGGTTCTTCAGACTAATTCGTTGCATCCATAGGAGTATTTTCATGTCGGTTCGTTGAAGTTGTTGTTCCAGTTTGGTTGTCATTGGCCATGTTTCTGCACCATATAACAACAGGTACAGAAAACCAATATATAAATAAATTAATTTTGAATAACAAAAAATTTGAGTAATTCAATCAATCAATGATCTTCCTTTGTCCATCAGGGGACCGTCGAGGCCGATGGTGTACATCTAAGCATACTTTTTACAATTCTTCTTTTTTCTTACCAAAAACCTTTTCTATCTTTGACCAGTTTTATTGAATTCAGAATACCAACACCAGTTCATTCAGTAATATCGTTTATCCATTTCTTTGCAGGTCTACCAACTTTTTTCTTCCAATCTCTTTTCTCATTAGTACCATCTTAATCAATCTGTCTTCGCTCATTCTAATTTTTTCTGTCTTCCAAGTTGATTTCTGATGGTTTTGTTCTTTACTTTGTGCCTCCAACTGATTCCCAACAAATTTCGGTGACACTTCATCTCAGTCTGTCTTTGTCTCTTTTTTTTATTGTCCATGTCTCACATGCATAGAGCAAGCTCAGAAAAACACAAGATTCTATCATTCTCAACTTTGTTTTTATAGATATATTTCCACTTTTCGATATTTCCTTCAATGATGCGAACATTCCATGGGCTATTGCTATCCTTCTGTCAATTTCTTTTGTACAGTTGTTGTCACAGGTTATAAAACTGTCAAGATACACAAACTGGTCTACTTGTTCGAGTTTTTCTGATTCTATCCGAAATTCCGCATTGTTTCTGCCTTTCGCGGTATTCATCACCTTCGTTTTGTCTTTTTTGAGATGCAACCCGTGATCTTTTCCACCAACATGTGTTAGTTCAATTAATTTCTGTAGACCTTCTTCACCTGAGTAGACCTGAGTAATTAATATATAAATAAATTAAAAGACGTAAAAATTAACGAAAATTATCTAATTCATGTGACAATAACTTTTGAAAGTTTACGATTGAGCTTTTCAATATTTCTAACAGTAATTTTTTATTTGTTATCCAATTTATTAAAATTTATAAGAAAATCGTTGGTGTTTATGGTGAAGCGTCTAGGCCATATTTTGATATTAGTCATCATCAGCGCTTGTATAGGGATATTTCAAGATTTTACTTTGCTTTGTTCTGTGCAAAGTGCTTTTATTCTGCTTTGTCCTGTCCGTTATTTGTATTTTGGTCTTGTCCATTTGTTTATATCTTTGTTCTGTTCATTTTCTTTCTTGCAAAGTCTTTCAATAATATTCTTCTGGTCGATAAAGCTGTTGCTATTTTTTACTGCTGGTTGATTTGCGGTTTGGTTTTTTTTTTGGTCAATGAAGATTGCTTCAGCAATTCTTAGATGGGTATGTTTCTTGTTACCGTATATTATACTAGTATTGTTTGCTAATATGTCTCATGATGTGATCGTTTGATGTATCATTTCTAGGTGAGTTCTAACGGTTCCTTCTCTTTTGTGCATAGTAAGGCGACGTGATAGGGATGTAGTTTTTGCATTTTGATAATAAATTCTCAGAGTTACTGAATTTCTACTTTACTTTATTTCTAGGCTTTTCGTTTTTGAAAATAATTTTCTCTTGAACAGATTCGTCTGTTTTAAATGCAGATGACATGCGGTTTCTGTAGTAGAAAATTATATTCTCGCCTTGTTTGTTGTTGTTATTATTGAAATGTTATAGTTTACGGTTGAAGGTATTTTGGATGGTATCTGTTTTGTAGTTGTGGTTGACTAGAACTTTAGTGATTTTAATTAGTTTCGTCTCGCGTCTGTTTGAATGAAAAATAGTTGTATGTATGTATGTATGTATGTATGTATGTATGTATGTATGTATGTATGAATGCATGCATGCATGCATGTATGTATGTATGTATGGTAAGGCGCCGGGTTTGGATGGGTTGCCTGCAGAGCTGTTCAAACACTGTGGTTTGCATCTTAGAAAGAGATTGGTGGAGCTTTTTGAACGCATGTGGGCAGAGCGGTCGGTCCTCCAGGAATTCAGAGACGCTCTGATCGTTCAAATATTTAAAAGAAAAGGTGATCGATCAAACTGCGACGACCACAGAAGAATCTCTCTGCTTTCCATACCTGGGAAGATACTAGCCAGAGTGATCGCTGAACGCCTGGCAAAACATGTCAACAATCTAGATATCTTTCCGGAGGATCAGTGTGGATTCAAAGCTGGACGCAGCACAACCGATATGGTGTTCACTGCGAGGCAACTGCAAGAAAAATGCCGCAAGCAGCAACGGGAACTGTATATGGTTTTTGTTGACCTGACCAAGGCATTTGATTCAGTTGATAGGTCAGCACTCTGGCGCTGCTTGTCAAAAATTGGTTGCCTCTCTGTTTTTGTTGCCGTTGTTCGTTCCTTCCATGAAGGTATGAAAGCGAGTGTGGTTGAAAATGGTGAACGGTCACAGGATTTTGAGGTTACAAATGGAACCAAGCAAGGATGCGTTATGGCTCCATTGCTTTTCAACATCTACTTTTCATTGATGCTCCGAGTTGCTTTTCGTCACGGTAGTGAGGGGATACCAATCTGCTATCGTATGGATGGGGATGTTTTTAATATTAGACGATTGCAAGCCAAGTCCAAGACACAGATCTCTGTTGTCCGGAACCTATTATTTGCTGATGATTGTGCACTGGTTGAACACACACAGGCCGAAATTCAGACGCTTCTATAAAACAGCTAAGAGATTTGGACTTACAGTCAGTCTGAAAAAAACTGAGGTCTTGCGTCAGAGCTACCCAGTTTCGTTGGGGGCAATGGCCCATGTGATGGCGGACGAATCGCGTCTCAATTCTGTTGATAGATTTGGTTATCTAGGCGGATATATCTCCAATAATGCAACTATCGATGATGATATTACAGCAAGGCTTGCAAAAGAGCACGGAATCACTATGGCCACCAAAATTGCGGTATACAGAGCAGTTGTGCTCCCTTCACTGCTTTACGGTTGCGAAACCTAGACGTTCTACCGTCGCCACATTCGTAGGCTCGACTAGTTTCATAAGAGATGCCTGCGCATGATTGCAGGTATCCGGTGGGAAGACAAGGT